CAAGTGTCGTACTATTTTCCCGTGGGCGTATCCGACTATGTACGTAAGGACATGCTAACTGTAGCACTATGGAGAGCATCACCCTATGAAGCCTGCACGCTTGGCACTGACAAATCGATTGGTACACGGCTATGGGCTCCATGAGTATATGAAAGTGTACTCGCCCCGTTGGGCTACGCGCGAGGAACTCGAGGCATTTCATGATAGTGACTATGTGGATTTCCTCAGCAAGACGACGCCATCCACTCCTCTCTCCGCAGCCTTTACCCGGTTCAACTTTGCGGACGACTGCCCCGTGTTTGACGGCATGTACGATTTTTGTCGTGCGTATGCGGGCGCTACCCTTTCGGCTGCGCGTCGATTGGCGGTGGGGGCCACAGACATTGCCATTAACTGGACAGGAGGACTTCACCATGCCAAAAAGTTCGAGGCAAGTGGATTCTGCTACATCAACGACATTGTTCTAGGTATCCTCGAGCTTTTGCGAACTTTTCCACGGGTGCTGTACATTGATATCGATATTCATCACGGAGATGGCGTTCAGGAAGCCTTTTATACGTCGAATCGAGTCATGACGGTGTCGTTCCACAAGTATGGTAATGACTTTTTCCCGTGCACGGGTGATATCACCGAAACGGGTGTGGGCCTCGGCAAACACTTTTGCCTTAATGTTCCTTTGCAAGATGGTATCGACGACAGCGCGTACGTGGCCCTCTTTAAAAGTGTCATTGAGCCATGTGTGTACACATTTCGCCCAGGGGCCATTGTACTGCAGTGTGGCGCCGACTCTTTAGGTCTGGATCGCCTGGGCTGTTTCAACCTAAGTATTTCAGCGCATGGTGAATGCGTGGCTTTCACGAAAGCCTTTGGTCTACCTCTTCTGGTTCTCGGAGGTGGTGGATATACGATTCGAAATGTGGCTCGCTGTTGGACCTACGAAACATCGGTCTTGACCGGTACTCAGATCCCCGACGATCTTCCACCAACCCCCTACGACGCGTTCTTCGCGCCAACACACCGTTTACATGAGCCACTCATTGCGCGGGTCGAAAATCAGAACACGCGATCCAGCCTGGAGAAAACGCGTGTGCAGATTCTGGAACATCTTAGATACCTACATGGGGCACCGAGCGTACAGATGGAAGAACTGCCACCCGATCTCGCAGGGGGCTGGGTGGATGAGCCAGTCAAGGAGGACCACGATAGAGCGCATTGATACGCTAGTTTATGTGTATTATAGCCAATGGCAAAAGCGATGAATGTCGTGCGCGGGGCAAAATAACGAAGGGAAGGTCACCCGGGCCCGAGACACGCACGTGTGGCGCAAGGGCCCTCATGCATGAGCATCGGTTCCTACATGCGCGATTTTTTGAGGTATGCTGATAAAGTTTAGTGTCATTTGCAGGTAGAGCATCCACGCTGCATGCAGATATCAGACATGGCGAAAGGCTGATTAAGATTGAACTTGAAGCAGACTCGATTGCACCGCCACGTTGGACACCACCTTTACCACCATGAAGGTCGCTGTGATCTTTGGCCTAGTCATCGCTGGTGTCTCAGCTCATCTCTCGCATGATGCAGTTCACCATCATCAGTTTGTGCGTCGTAAGCTTCCTACTGGAGAGGCAGCGTATGAAGCCATGACGAACCCCTCCCAAGAGTGTAAATACTACGACGCCCCAGAAATCACGCAGATGCATAAGCAAGGCCAGCTTCCTAAGATTGACTATGTTGCCAACATCATTAATGGCGACAACGAAGCGCAGTCGGTCTGGAAAGATATTCAATCCTCTGGCATTATTCCTAATGATGTGAAGCAGAAGGCAGACACTACCAACGGCCCGCACCAAGGTACTTCCGCTAAAGCATGAAACTAAGACGAGGACAAAGATCCTGACTGCTGGTGTACTGATTCGCAGTGCACAAAGCCCAAGCACAAAAACCTCATACAAGACATTGACACTTGCCTGGAACCCAACACGTATGGTCTCACCTTTGACGATGGCCCTAACTGCACACATAATGCCCTGTACAACTACCTGAAGGACAAGAAGCTCAAGGCTACGCTGTTCTACATCGGATCCTATGCTTCTACTTGGCCTTACCAGGCTCAGCGTGCCATCGCTGATGGTCATGATGTTTGCATTCACACCTGGTCCCACCGCTACACGACCACTCTCACGAATGAGCAAGTGTTTGCGGAGCTTTTCTACATGGCTCGTGTGATCAAGAGTGTTACCGGCGTGACACCTACTTGCTGGCGCCCTCCTTACGGCGATGTGGACGATCGTGTACGCGCTATTGCCACGGGTTTGGGCCTTCGTACGATTATTTGGAATCACGACAGTAATGACTGGAACATTCAGCCGTATGGCTCTGCGCCGCCAAGCCAAATTTCGTCCAACTATGACAAGATTATTCAATTGGGCGGTAAAGAAAGTGTGGTGGTGCTGTCTCATGAGTTGTACAATGAAACCATGCAGATGTTCATCGACAAACAGCCGGAGATCTCCAAGGCATTCAAGAATGTTGTGCCTATCTCAGCGTGCTACAATGTCACGCAGCCTTATGTTGAGAGTGACATTACTTACCCGAACTTCAATGATTTCATTTCTGGCAATGCCAAGTACCAAGGCTTGTCTGATGGAAGCTCTATGAAGATCAACTCGAACGTAACAATAAAGATGACCCCCATCTCGAAGCAATCGAATGGCTTTGCTCATCCAGGAAGCTCTGCTAGCTCTTCGGGATCGTCCAAGGACAAGCTAGCTCCTCCAGCGGTGGCGCTAGCAGTGGTGGCGCTAGCTCCAGCTCCAGCTCAAGTGACAGCGCGAATGCGGGTTCGGGTTCGAACTTGTCGGGTCAGTCGGGCTCAAACCCCCGCAATGGAGCAGCAGGAGTGATGGCGAGTATTTTCAGCGTCTGCATTCGTCTCCTACTCATGATTCTTTCGATAAGTTAAAAGGAGGATGTGTTTCTTTGGTGTGGAATACATGGTTAATTTTGGGGACGACACTGTCATTACACTGATAAAGTGGCGGTGGTGGCACACGAGATTAATTAGAGACTTTCTTTAAACTTGTAACCCGGTGTATACATATTTGGTATAGGATAGATTTTGGAATCGTATCTTTCTATAAAAGTCTTCAGCTGTGATTGAGCTTAATGATGTCTGGGTAAGAGGGCAAAAAAGGTCCTGCGCGGAGTCGAACCGCGGCTTAAGGAATTCGTGACCAAGTCAAAGATCAGAAACCTTCGGACTAACCGTTATCCTACAGGACCAATCCTAGCTGGTGCATGCGGTATAAGTCTCTTTAAGCATATTGCATTATGCAAGAGTGCACAGCCACTTCGCCTTGCTATGCCAACATCTACAAATCATGCATATTCACGTGAAGACCCGAAGCTCGTGCAGGTACACCAATTTGAGCAGGGACGGTAGGTATGACGCCCCTTAAGCAACAACCACAACATGCAATTAACTGCCAAGTTGCTGATTGCCACTTTCGCGGCTACCTATGCCTCCGCATCCCTTCAGAGTGACGCGCGCCCCGGTCATTTCCGTATTCTTCGACGTGCTGTCTCGAATGCGGCCGACGAGAAGTCTCTTTCGGACCCAACCCAAGCATGCCAGCCCTATGGTGACGCGGGTGTTACCCAGATGATGGGCAAAACCCTTCCTCCCGACAACAACCCTGCCAAGATTTTGGAAGGCGACGATGAAGCGAACCAAGTCTGGAAGGAGATTCAGGACTCTGGTATCATCCCCAGCAATGTTAAGCAAAAACCAGCCGATGACTCGTCCGGTGCTAATATGGGTGTCAAGGACTCGAATTACGATGCCAGCTCTGACCCTGACTGCTGGTGGACTGCTAGCAAGTGTATGCAGCCGAAGGCCAAGGGTGTTCCTGCTGATCTTAACAGCTGTCCCGAACCAAGCACTTGGGGTTTGACGTTCGATGATGGCCCTAACTGCTCCCACAACGCTTTCTACGACTTCCTGAGCGAGAAGAAGCTGAAGGCCACCATGTTCTTGATCGGTATCAATGTTGCCAACTGGCCCTACCAGGCTCAGCGCGCTATTGTGGACGGCCATGATATTTGCGTCCACACCTGGTCTCATCGTTACATGACTACTTTCCCCAATGACCAGGTCTTCGCTGAGCTGTTTTACACTATTCGCGTTATTAAGAGCGTTCTTGGTGTGACGCCTACTTGCTGGCGTCCTCCATTCGGCGACGTTGATGACCGTGTGCGTGCTATTGCTGCTGGTCTCGGTCTTCGCACGATTTTGTGGGAAGAGGACACCGATGACTGGAACTTCCAAAGCGTGGGCATGCAGAAGGTTCAACAAAACTACCAGAACATCATCAACAAGGCAGACAGTGAGAGCCCCATTGTCCTGACGCATGAGATTGTTAACCAGACCATGCAACTTTTCATGGATGAATTCCCCAAGATCGAAGGAAAGTACAAGAATGTGGTTCCTATCAGCGCCTGCCAGAACATCACCAATCCTTACCCTGAAGACATTCAGTACCCTGTCTTTAGTGACTTTGTCAATGGTAAGCGCGCCACGGGACTGCCTGACATCAACTCCATCAAGACGACTGCGAACGCCGACTTTAAGATTGTTCCTTTGTCGCAGCAGAAGCAAGGTTTCGCTAACCCTGGCCAGGGTTCGAGCTCTGGTTCGTCAAGCGGTGGTGGCTCGAGTGGCAACTCTGACAACGGCAGCTCGGGCGGCAAGAGTGCGGCTGGCCTAACGGCTTCGCCAAACAAGGCTGTGATTGCCGCAATCATTGCTGGTGCGGTTACTAGTGCTGCTCTCTTTTGAATTTGTTTATAACACTTGTCGATAAAAGTCAGACTCTTTAGAACAACCGATCCCTTTTGCAGTATAAGATAGAACTCGTTCCTCGTTTTCTTTTGCTCTCAAAAGTGACGGGCACAGGCAAGGCCAAAGTCGAAGGAAGGCACTCGGACAATGTTGGCAAAAAAGGTCCTGCGCGGAGTCGAACCGCGGCTTAAGGAATTCGTGACCAAGTCAAAGATCAGAAACCTTCGGACTAACCGTTATCCTACAGGACCCTGAGTCGGATTTCTGACTGAGGGTTGCCCCATTAGAACAAAGGGAAAGCGTGACGCGGGTAAGTCCGTATCCCAATTATCAAAATGTTGACATTGTTGTTTTTCCACACGTTCAATTTTGTTCTCGTTCCTATGCAGCGTCGTTGGATATGAGTGAAAAATCAAAGTACATGCGTCCAAGTATTATGGAAGTATACAATAGGATCTCAGAGGATGAGGCTTGGGCCCGCGCTAAAGAAGAATCGGAGCGCGATGCTTGTGCAGAGAGGTGGCTTTCTGGTCAAAAATCCATCATGGAGGTGCGAAGCAAGACCATGCAAAAGAGCTTTGTGGACAGTATTCGTAAAACCTTTCAACAAGTGAACAAAGAATCTTTGCCTGGAAATGGCTTGGACCCTTCCTCTATTTTGTTTGATGGCGAGAATGCCAGCTATTCTGTATCGCCTTCGTATACCCCGCCTAAGCCTCAAAGTTCGGATATTGTCTATCCCATGGAATCTTCCATATACCCTGTAAAAAATAACATCCCAAGAGGTTCGCCGTTGCGGTCTGGACCGATGTCTTCTACATGGGGCTCACTCCTAGACGTGGATCCACTAGCTTCAAATGGAATCACAATTGAATGGAAACCACAGGATGATACAAATATGCCGGACAAAGCCCCGGATCCAAGACATCAAGAGCCAACTATTGACGAAGCAGAACTATGGAAAATGATACATTTACTGAAGGAGGTCTTAAAAGAGCCCTCGCGGGAAGCGGCCAAGCCAGATGAGACATTGCAGCACATGCTCGAAGCTATGGATTCAACACATTCACCAGGTGATGGGAAGACTGAGTCAACTGCAAACGCCCTGGCTATGGAGCTGCGGCTGGAAAAAATCAGTATGGATGATGCAGAATATGCTCAGCAACTTGACAAAATCCGAGGACAACTAGGATCATTGGTGACACGTTTAAAGGAAAATGAAGCAAAGTCGATGGACGCCGATTCAGAGCCGAGGACCTCTCAAGCTTCCAAGTCCAACAACGTATTCACAAAGTCTGTGCTAATTATCACTTTGTACACGTTTTCTATTCTTGTTCTGCTGTTGATCCTTACTTTACATTGGCTCCGATTCCGTGCATTTTATTTGTACGAATTCACCTACCATGATCCCTTGTATCAGGATTTCTATCCCCTGCCTTCTTACGTGGAGTCTTTCCTTTCGCCTTTTGTGTCCTACAATGTCCCCTTTGCGATTTGAATCAATGGCATAGAGGCCAATGTGACCTCATTTTTACGCGGCCCAAAATGCACAGCGACCTGATCCGTTGCCAGTGGCAATACGCGCTGGAAGGAGTGGATGCATCGCTGTCACGGCTGGAACGGCCGTGATCCAATTGGGATCATATAATCGTACCATACAACGACCATCTTTTCCATAAATTTCTGTGTGACGCGTCATGCTTCCCATGGAAAAATGAGGTTCGAGAGAAGGATTTCGGTTCCAACATGCACGGAAGAGTGTGACCCACTTGCCCGTTTGATTGTTATGGTGAAATGTATGTGGCTCTCCAAGCTTTTCATGAGGGCGCGTCTTGCTTTGAATCCAATGGTCCAAGGTGTTTTCCTTCGGAGGACGTTGAGGTGGAGCATGGCTTAGAGCCTTGTCGTGTAGATCCCAAATGGAGACGGTATTATCATAGCATACACTGACTGTATCTTAGCAACGTGTACATACCCAAATATTTTCCGTCCGGACTGAAATCCACAGAGGTGCATGCCATGTCTCGCTCCATCGAGCCCAGTTGCGAAACAGCATAAAGCTTATTCAATTCTTCCAAGTCTGTTTCAAGTAGCTTGTTGGACGGCATAGGCATCTCTCGGCAGTGCTGGAGCATGCGAGTGTCAAAGAAGCGAACGGTCCGATCGTTACATGCTGTGGCAATGCAGTGGGGTGTCTGTGCGTTGACGGCAAGACCACCGACCTTCTTATCACTGATTTGCCAACGATGATAGTCGGACGGCGATGAACGTACATCAATATGAATCAAGGCACCCGTGTGATCAGCAAGCCACAAACTGCGACCATCGAGATGATTGGAACCAGGCGTACTTGCCTCGGACGGATTGGTTACAGGGCATAGAATATCAAATTCGCTAAGCTGGACGGTGGATGGGGAGCGCCAGACTTCCATGCTCACCTGTTCTTTGAGTGAGAATACGCGCAATGTTGAGTCGTAAGAGCTCGTATAAATTCGTTCCGGGGAAAGGGGGTCCATTTGCAAACACCCAATGGCCGCACCGTGCATGCGCAACGAGAATGCGCTTCCAGTTGGGATGTCCTCCGCGCTTTGGGACTCGTTCTCATCAGCAAGCGCATCCCAGACACCAAGATTTCCCGCCTGATCACCTGTAAACACAAGATCTTTTTCTAGGGTCGGATGATAGAGCATGCTGTAGATTCGTTTTTGCGAAACACGGGTATAGCTTCGAAGTTGCATGGTCCTAAGCAAGCTTTCGAGCTCAGTTTTAGGTGTAGGTAGAGGTTTTCTGTCTTCAAAATTGACAGCAAGCGAATCTTTGAGTCTTTTCTTCTCCTCCTCTGCCAGTGTATCGGCGACCAGGTCTTCCAGGCTAAGGTTACCGTGACGAACGACTGGAGTCAACGGTTCCTTGGGTGTGTCAGAGTTCGTCAGGGTCGTTTCGTTGTTCTGATTCTCTGGATCCATTTTCATACCTCGTAACCGTGCGCTAGAGCGCTGTGGTAGCATTTGCTTGGGCCGATCTTGAATGTGACTTCGCTTGCGACGGGCCTGCTCGGCTTGGGCAGCTTGGCGTTTCGGAACACTGACGCCCAGAAAAGAACTTCCGCTCTGACCTATTCCAAGTTCCTTTAACAACTTCTCATTTTCCTCAATATTTCTTCGTCTTTCAGCTTCACTGTTATGCTATGAGAAGGCTGATGGACCAACGTACTAATCCATTCCATCCATGGACGCGTTACGCGATGAGTGGAGGGGCTGCGGCCAGGCCAACAGCCCATCGGAGAACAGTGTGCACGTCCCAGGCACGTTTCCCAGTAAATCGCTGCCTCTTTTTCATTAGGGGAAAAACAGGGTGTCGGGTATCCTTGACTATGAGGAAATGATCTATCATTTCGATTTTAAGCGCGTATTACGGTATGCACGCAGGGATGTTGCGATAACCAGGGTTACGCAGATGGTTCAGTGGGGCATAGAGGGAAGACAAATTCAGTGGATGGTACCGGGGGCGATATCCTGCGAGGCCTGTTGCCCGACAAGATGCAGTAGGGATCGCAAGCAGCTGCATCCAGGCGACGATGGCCAGAGCAACAAGAGTGTCCCGTACGCATCCGTGAGCGACCACGGCAAGGTTCATCACTAGATCCAGTGCTGAGTACTTTCTCAGATGTGTCGGATTGGATCGATCGATTGCAGTTGTAACACACATCAGATAATGCAGAATCAGATCCTTGGTCCGATGGAATCGTAGAAAGGTCCGTGTTCTGGGGGACTGGATCCTGTGCATCCTGCGTTTCCGTGGAGGCCCGTTTAGAAAGAGACGTGTCGGTAGGAAGATCCTGGTTTTGAAAAGAAAAATTCGAACGAGATTTGGCCATGATCGGGGGTGAGTGCCGCTCAGCCTGCGAGTCACTGCCAAGACGCCGAAGAGTTGCCGGTACATTGGGTTTGCTCGAATTCATGGGATTTGCAAAGATCACAGACGACGGGATATTTGTCGAACAGGGCATCCGCGTAAACTGCATGTGTGACTGAACGGAGCGCGCTGGCGCCATAGAGTGCGGTACTAGAGCAGGCGAAGACCATAGGGGGCCTTTAGGGGAAGTCAAGGAGCCAGACTTGAACTTTTGCATCCGAACACCAATGTTTCGACCGCTGACAAAGGATGTTGAGCCTAGCACAGAGGGCGGAAGTGCGAGCTCGTCATCATCAGAAATATCGCCGTGCTGTTCGTCCACATCTAGCCCCGCGTGCCAAGGAGAAGGCGTGAGTTCCGAATCAGATTTATCAGATGCAGCCGAGCCGCTAGAATGTGAGGGTGACCGATACAGCCCCGCATGGTTGGCGCGCCGCTCAGAGCAAGAACCCGATGAGCCAGAACTCTGATGGGAATCAAGAACTTTTTGTTTCGGGAATAGAGGAAGACCTGATGTAGCTGCCGTAAGATGCGGGGAAAGTGTCATAGGGTAGCGCAACTGAGACAGCGTCTTGCTTAGCTCCTCTTCCTTTTCTTTTCCCGCTGGTACATCCTTCAAGTTCTGGGAATCTAGCTCGCGACATTTTTCCGTGCAGTATAGCTTTCCATGGGGGGCTAGCGCGCCGCAGTGTGTACAGATGTCATCCGCAATCCAGGAAGATTGATCGGCAACGTTGCCATCCGCTGACTTGGAGCTAGAGGACTGCCTTCCACGGTTGCTAGAGCGCGTCTTAGAAGAACGCCTAACGCGAGACTCTGGGCTCATTCCGATTGTAACGCCGAACCAGGTCGACAAAATTGAAGGGATCTAGTTCACTACCTCCAGTGAAGGAAGATAGGCCAGAATAGAAGAACGTCTAGAATGTGGGTTATAAAGGATGGAGGAGCGGCCTAAGCACTGCAACAAGGTCGTGGTTGAGAGGGAACGGAATTGTTTGCTGGCGACTACTTGGTACAATTCGGCTTCAGGCCAGAAAATGGTATTGGCGTGCGTTTGGTGGCTATAATTCCACGTCAAGCCGGCCAGTCATGACGACATTCGAGTCAGACACCAATTGCATTATGGGACTTTAGAAAACAAGGTTTTCCCTGTACTGTGGGCGCACGTTGCCCTATCCATGCAGAATTTGGAATGCCCAGCCCAAAAAGCCGCATTTGGTAAATATGATTGGCTCAGAATTTTGGGACCGATGTACTGGAAATAAGAACCCCTATCGGCGTCTGCGAAAACGAGATCATCCGATTTTTCTTTTTCCGTGGAGAAATACAGGGGCCT